AAATCTCAAAAGGAGTTGGAGAGATTACCACATAGGGCAGAGGAGACAAGAAAAAACAGAAAATAATAAACAAAACACAGTCACTGAAAATCACTTCTAATGACCACAAATTGTGGTAGCAATTAAAGAAGTTGAAAAGGAGATCAAAACATAAAACTCCATGATTGAGATGAATGTAATGGTAAATAATAATGGTGCAGCAAACACCACCTATAGCAAGTTATTATAGGTCTTCCATCTTTATGTATTTTTGGTAAAAGGTGAAGAATGACATTGAGTTAAAGATCAAATATCACTCCAATAACTCATATTCAAAGGACAAAAGAAACTCATCAAAATGGTATTAGGGTCCCAATAAAGACAAAGACCCTAATAAAGATTGTTATATATATAAATATTAGAGAAAACCTAAAAATAAAAATTGATATAAAAATCCATCCGAAACCATATAATAATTTATCTTTTAAAAAGTGGCACAGAGAGAATGCGTTTTGAAGCGTTTGTTTCTGATATTCTAAAATAAAAGGAAGTGGTGCGAGCTAAGTTATGCTAACCGTTCCTCTGCATTTCCTCTCCACTAAGACCACACAAACATAAACCCTTCTTCTCCAAGCTACACAAACTTCAAACCTCATTTCTCTTTTTGACTCCATTCACTTTCTCCCATCTCCTTCAATGCCAACAAATTCTCATCCCCAAAACACCCATTGCTACAAACAATTCCCCATCTTTTTCCCTTTTCTTTCCCAATATAACCCCCCAAACCACACTTCCCAACTTCCTACCTTCAAACTCTTCCTCACCAAACACTTCCACTCTCACCTCATTCTTCTCTTCACAAACTCTAAATCACACACCCAAATGCCTGAATCAAGTAAATTTCACATCTTTCAAACCACCCTCTTCACATTCCTCTCCCTCTCCTTCCTCCATGCTTCCACAGCTCAAGCACAGTCTTCCATGGAGCCTGTGCCCACATACATCACGCACCACAGCTGGGAGCCCTCCGTTGCCATCACCGTTGGAGCCATCATCTTTGCTCTTCTTGTGATGGGCATCCTCTCCATCTACCTCCGCCGATGTGCCGAGTCACGGATCATCATCACCACCACGCAGACCACCACCACAGTCCCCTGCTCCTGCGCGCAGGGGATCAACAGGGAACTCCTTAATACCTTTCCCACCCTCTTCTACTCCAACATCAAGGACCTCAAAAAGGGTGAAGAAACGCTCGAATGTGCTGTGTGCTTGACCGATTTCTCAGACAAAGATGCCCTCAGACTCCTCCCCAAATGTAACCACGTGTTCCACCCTCACTGCATTGATTCCTGGCTCGCTTCCCACGTGACATGCCCTGTGTGCCGCGCGAATCTCAGCCAGGATTCGTGCCAGGTTGCCATAACTGTCCCCACCCTTCCTGATGAGGAAGTTTCCGGAAGTGAAGAAACTGTGGCAGAACCAAATCAAAACACTAACACAAACCATGCCGTGAATCAGGTTTGTGTCGGAAGTCCTGCATTGAGTGATGACACTACCAAAACAGTGTATGTAAGTGAGGAACAATCTTCATCTCCCGATGTTGTTCCTGAGTTAGAGACAAATTCAAATTCTGTGACTGGTGATGGGGTGGTTGTTGTTGCTGAGAGGAACCTTTCGAGGTCAAACTCCACTGGGCATTCTCTTGTGGGTGTGGAGAGGTACACGTTGAGGTTACCGGAAGACGTGAGGAGGTACATTCTGGTGAATCATGGAAGGAGTGTTCAGCGTTCTGCTAGTGTTAAGGGTACGTGTTGGAGTGATAGCGAAGAGAGTTATGCCGGGAAGAGGGTGGAGAAGAGGTGGGTGATTTGCACGCCGCCATTTGTGGCAAGCCATGGCTGAAGAGCTCCGTCGGAAACTTGGTGTTCGTGTTCTGCGTTGGACTTCTAAAAGATCCTTTGGTGAGAGGAGGTGAAGCTTTGTGATGTATGGTTGCTTCAATAAATGGGTTGCTGTCAATTCTCCAGAGACTGTGAGAGTTTGCTGTTACAGAGATGAAGCAGAGGACGGAAATGGAAGAAGAGTAGAGTTCTCAATGAATGAGTCAACTCGTTATGTGTACTATTTTGGCTTATGAGTCAACTCGTTTTCTTTCTTTCTTGTTTTTTTTCTTTTTACTTTATTTTTTGGGATGAGAGAGAGAGTGAGATCGTGGTTCCCTCACATTATTATGTTATTTATTTTATTCATTTATAATAATATACCTAGTATTAGTCGTAATTATTTACATATTATCTTGTCTGTGAAATATTTATATAATTTAAGGTCACTTAGTTTTGTCGGACGATTTAAATAGTTGAATCTGATTTTTTTGTTAAAAAGTTGAATCTAATCTTAGTTTATTTTATTACTTACGCAACCTGCCGTGTTCTTATTTCTCCCTGTATTTTCGAACTAGTTTCATAATAAAAATAATTTATATTTTTAGGTATGTAAATATTGAACACATAATTCGGTTATGCTAAATGTATTCATCAATTGGAGATATAAAAATTAGGCGTTTCTTAATGTTGTAAACATAGGATAACCCTCGTTATATGGGGTTTTAAGAAAATTGTTTTTATGATTTTAATTTTTCTAATTTATTGCTTTTATTTTAGTTTTTTTAATTAATTTTTAAATTATTTTTCAAAACTGTGAATACTCAAAAAATAACTTTACATTTTATGTATTCAAAGATTTTTATTACTCTGAATTTCAATTCAAATGTAATTTGTATATTTAAAAATTATTTATTATAAATTTCAACTGTAAGAAATAAAGTGTTGTACAATTCAGATAGTAATACTGTTTCTCGAGAATTAAGGAGCCAACTGACCAGAATTTAATTAATCTCGCGATTTTCAACTCAAAGGGTAACCACTTTTCCTTTAAATCATGTCTTTTTTTTAACCTTGAGATAAGAATAAAATCTTGAAGGAAAATATCTTGTGAGGATGCTTTTAAAACAAACAGCTAAGTATGTATAAGTATAACCTTTACATATTAATGAATTAGCATACAACAGACTTAAAATTTAATAGATGAGCGTTTATTTACGAATGAAAAAAGAATTTGATTAAATGATAAATACACTTTAAATATAATAATATCACTTTAATGATTCTCGTGATTATTTGATAAACAAACTATGGCCACCTTCCACCATTAATTTCTCACCAACACCAATTACCAAATTTCAAAACCATTTAAATGCAAAATATCTTAGTGTCGTTCATTATGAGAGAGAAATGAAGTAAATTGAATCGCTCACATACATGGTTTGTAAGTGGCACATGAGTTTTGATTGGTTTTACTTTTCGAATGGTGTCAAAGTGCCTCAATGATGCTCAAAAGATAAATTACAAACAAAAAAAATCTTAAAGCAGTTGATCGCATGATCTAAAAGCTATAAAGAGTATTGATTTTTATATTAAATTTTCCCAAAGATATGCTTCCCCCTTATACTAAAGATGTTGGTGGCCAAAAGAATTTCTCTGCTGAATATACTTAGCTAAAGAACAGTCCTACAAGAGAGAGAGAGAGAGAGAGAGAGAGAGAGAGCACCATGCACAAGAGGCCAAAGAAATACAGTATTATGTGAACCTATATGCGTATCACCCAACTAGTTTTCTGTTTCGTGGCAAAGACAAATTCAGATAAGGTTTAGTTTAATTAATGTCATTTGCATATTCACACGAAAACACAAATCAAGATAATGACGCATCAAACTCCTCGTAATGATAAATCACAATCACTTATGCCATTATTGGCACTCTATATAACATGTGGTTGCTATGATTACAAATATGGGTCAAGACTTTGGCTGAATTTGGGTTGCAGCGTATGAAAAGGGGATGACAAGTGTGCCTCCAATTTCTCCAGTCTTCTAGTCTAACATGGTTTCACCAAATGAAAGGACATTGAGTCTAAGGGAGCTTGATTTAAGGGGAAGAGCCTAACATGATAGGCTTTTGTCTTTCCCTCGATCCCATCTGTGGCTCTTGAAAAGCAAGAGAAGAAAGATAACCATTAGCATTTAGACTCCAATTTCACAAAATAAACGAGGCAGGGAAAATGGAAGAGACAAGATATACCAAACACAAAAGTGACGTGCCTTTAACTATTGTTTGTTAGAATCAATATGTAACAATTTTAAGTCCAATATTATCTTTTCAACTGTACAACAGACTCTAAACAAAGGCGAGCATTAGCTGATAACACAATCAGCAAACTACATGTATGGAACACTGAATATGCAAATTTAGCGTATATTTTTAAGGTACTTTGATTAACATTTTCACTCTATTATTCACGATACGCACACCATTGACGAGGTAATTTATTTTAATGACGAACCAAAAGTAATGGTAAAGTTGTATTCTGGTAACCAATTAATCATGGACTCGAATCTAAAAATAGCTTTTTACATGTGAAAGGGAAGGCTGTGTTCTATTATCCTCTCCTATACATTTGCGAAGGTAGTAGCCTCTGATACCCTAGCATGTTAGTCATGAAGATTATTTTAGTCATCTAGTTAGGCCAAAATGGAAACTGCCGCAGGTTTTCATCCTTTTAGAATTGAAATGGCAGCTTTAACCGGTCCTCCATCCATGTGGCCGAATGAGGTTGCATTTGTATATCATCCGCAAACCCCCATACCCGTCTTGCTTGTAATTACAGCAACTAATTGTGGCATGTTCCCATGTATGTTCTAATTGTAAAATGATTTGCTTAGCATAGTAAAGAAACAGATTCATTTTCAGACTTGGACAGCTAATCAAAGAGTAACTAATGAAACTCCTAAGAAATGTCAAAAACAGCTGTAACTTTACTACAAGAATCTGCTAATTTCTTCTTTCTCTTCCTTGGTGTGAGGTGTAAGCTATGGCGTATGGGGACAACCTTTTGGATTCTACAGTCTTTTAATTAAGTATTGTTAACGTTCTAAATTTAGATAAATAGTTGTAAAAATGTAAAATAAACTTAAATCTTATCGTGATGGAAGGTTTGGACATTTGAAGTGAGCATCTTAGTACCAGTAAGATAACATGTGCATTAGGATTGTTGCTTTATGTAGTTAATTATAAAAGATACGATCTTTTGGGATGAACTTCAGGGATTTATATGCACCGTGCCCCCACTCACTATGCATTTTATTATAAATTTAATATTGGGTTACTTGAGGGCAAGACTGGAAAAAGCATCTAAATTAAAGATGAGAAGGACATATACTAGTAAACAAGCACGTAAAGAGAAATTTGGAGAGTTTTTCAAAGTTGGAATTGCTTGATTGAAGTGGAGAGCAAACCACTATCGATGCAAAGATTGCAAACACTTTTTACGCGTAGGAGTGATCATCTTGATTCAAGAAATAAGAGAAGATGATAAGAAAGGGTGACGTGTGCAAATAGATAGAGTAAGAATAATTAAAGGGTTTTTCTTGCAATGCGAAAGGCAGTGACCCTTGTGGTTGCAACATAAGCTGTCCAGCAGAACCATGTGAGACCCACAGTAAGATAGACTCAGATGCAATAACAGAATCTTTTTCATGGGCATAAGTACACAGGGAAAGAGCGTCTGAAGGGAAGAATTCCCATTCCAACTACACTGGTCTACATCATATCTTGCTTAATTCAATTGAAACTCCCCAGTGTTGACGTCTAGGAACATCAACACTAAAACAATAATACAAAACTAAGTCTATCATGAGTTTTACTTTTGGAAAAATATTTGTTGGGCAGTTACTAATAATCTACGAGAGAAAGGTGTAAAAAATAAAAGTAATAGATACACGTGACATGATAAAAACAAGAAATGAAGAATATTGATAGAATATTTGAAATACGTAAGGGTTGAAATATCACTACGCTTGCGTTTGATCAACAGTAAAAGTTTATACAGTACCGTTCAATCATTGGTTGATACACCGTTAAAAAAGTTTAACTTTTTAAATGTATAAGTTATAGTTTTCTGAATGATGTGATAACAAATGATTGGGGAATAATATTTTACACTGTTAGTGAAGTAAAATGAAATGCTTTACCAGTCTTTGGTAGGAACATAAGTTGGTTCTAGTCTTAGAGTTATAGACTAAAGGGAAGAAATGACCACTAACCCGATGGGTTGTTTTTCGAATTCACAATTTTGTAATTCATACTAATAAAAATAAAACTTATTGGGAATATACTTGTTTGTTATTGTTGTTAATATACATGTTATTTGTCATGCACATAAAAATATCTCTTACTCCGCAGTTAATAGTCCTTCTACTTTTTCTAACCAAATCTTTTTTAATATTTAAACTATCAGATTCATATACTTCGATTGCACCAACTATAATTTTAAGAAAAGATAAAACTCCGGAATAGTCTCACTTCACGTCTTTTTTATCTCCCTTTTCTCAAGTGGTAAAAGTAGGAAGAGGGACCAAGAATTTATGTATACGAACAACTTTTCCCCCTAAACCCCAAACCAAAGGAAGAAATTCTGAAGTCCACCGATATAAAATAGCACTCATAGTACTAGGAACATGTACTGCTACAATCATGAGGATTAGCACTAAACATAAATAAATGTGATCGAGAATTAAAGTGAAAGATTATAATAATCGACGTCACACACGTTGACACCTAAATGTTCCTAAGAATCTCTAACAATGAAGACACCAAAAGTTTGGAAATGTTGAGACACTTTTTCAAGGGTCATATGTTGCTTCACAACTGTCCTCTACAAAACGAAAAATATATTCCAAAGAGGTTTAATGGAACGAAAGGAAAGAGAAATCTTACTAGAAATGAGAGCCTTTGGTCTGTTCTTGAACAGAATCTTATGTCTAATGACGCCAACAACTTGCAGCTCCACCTTACACCCACTTTCTCCATCAGGATGCTTTACTTTCTTGAGCACCACCATTGGCTTCTTCAAGGGAACCTTTGACCCTGTCAGTTCGTGGTATCCAACAGTGAAGGTATACACTTCCTGAACAACAAAAGTCATCAATAAAAAATATTAGTTTACAATTAACTAACAAAAACTTGAAATACTTTTGTTGGTAATCATTGATTTAGAGCCCTACTTGGGTCAACCAGTGTAGTCCATGGTTTAATTGAAACCACTATTTTTCTGTGGACAATCATTTTTTAATCACTATAAAATATAATTGCATTCATTCTGTCCATACATTTTCCAATTCTATTATGATAGCTAAAAATGTTTACAGTTTCTCTATTTATTAAGATGACAAATCTTCAATTTAGACCCCACTCTATTTAGACAGTATTATTTATCTTCCTTTTACCTACATCACATACTACATTTCTAAAAAGCTAAAAAAGATCTCAGTTATTTTTAACTATTACACGTTTATCTTCAGTATTCCTATATTCAGTATTTGTTAAGTGCATATTCACTTCAATTTTAAAATAATCATATTATAATTCATATTCATCATTATAAATTAAAATTCATATATTCAAAATAATTATGTCATACCCTTTAATATAACTTCTATATTTAAAAACGTATAATTAATTTACATTTTAATTATAAAAAAATTATATTTGTCACGTAAAACACGACTAAAATAATAAAAATAAAATCCTAAAACAAGATATCACTTTGAAACAAACAATTATTTGAACCTTTTAGGTAAAACGAACAAAAAAAACTAATCAAAATTTATGAATTCGAACAAAAGCTATGAAAAAACATGTCTACTTAAATAGTTATATTTTAATTGAATATTCACATTTTATTGAGCTATTTTCCTACTTCGCTTATGTTAAAAAATACACGGCTGTTATATTTTAATTATACATACTAAAGGTTTACTTATATTTCAACATTAAAATTTGATGTGAATCTGGTTTCGGTCTCTGAAATTTAAGAAATTAAAATTATTTTCTTAAACGTAAAGGATCAAAACAGAATTCAAAATGATAATTAAACCTAAAAAGCTATAAAGTCTGGTTTCAAAGTAACTGCACACATCTATTTCTTATTTAATTTCCATCATCTCTCCCGTTCTTCTATTCTTTTATTAATGTAGAGATTCCCCTAGTAACAATGAGTCCAATCGCTATTCTTCAGCAAATCTTCTGACAAAATCTCATCAATAATATTCTTATAATACAACTTAACAGAACACTAAAATTGGAAATAAACGTTTTAAACAGTGATTTGAGAAGAGTCTATGACATAAGCAGGTAGCGAAGGTGATTCTAGGTGTAGTATGAGTGACATTTGTCGATAAATCGGTGGTCAAAATGCGATTTGCAATGAGAAGCGGAATTGAAATGACGATAGAATTAAAGGGAGAATATGAAGAGACGAAAAAAGAAGGGTGAGAGAAGGGAACCTGAGAAGAAGGACGACAGAGAGTACCGATGTGGAGATTTGGGAGGGAATCGTGGAATCCTGGCTGAGGCTCCACCACTCCTTGAAGCTCCACAATGCCCCATTCCTCGCAGCTTCCTTCTCCGCAGCTGCACCTCACGCGAATCTCCATCTTTTCCCCTTTTCTCTCTACACGGACTCACTTGAGGATTGGGAATTTTAGAGGGATGTGATGTGCGATGTGGTAACGCGCGAAAATTGCTTTATTTTCCCGCCAAAATTAACACGGGAAATTGTAATAATAGCATTTATTTTACAAATAGTTAAAGATTGAGCTAAATAAGTTTTTAACAATTTCAAATTCTATTTATAATTATATTAAATTTTGTATCGCTGATTTTTTAATATTTAATCGGCAAGGGAAAACTACTTACTATTTTTTTATTAACTGGGTTTAATGTGTAATATTAGGTTGGAAACGGTCGGGTTGCCTATTTATTACTTGTCAAGTCTAAATAGTTTTATTATGAAAAACATACATGATAGTAAGATACCATAATACTCGTAATAATCTATTAATAAATTAATAATTAAATATACATATATATTATTTATAGATATTTTATTAAAGATATGTTTATTATCCAATACATATTTTATCCGTAGATATTTATATTATGAAATTTTATACCATTCTTAGTTCAACGTGATATTGTAATATCTTGTTAATTTAAAATTATTAAAATAATCATTTGAATTACATTCATATATTTATGAAGTTTAAGATATTAAAATTCTCAAAAAAAAATTTAAATTGTCAATTTTAATGCAGAATAATTTTGGAAAAGATAAAACTTTTTTAATCTTTTAAATTTTATCTATAAAAAAGAGTTAATTGATAAAAAAAATAGATCTAGTTAACATATCTGTACTTAAACATTTATTTGACATTTTATTAATTCTAATTGACGTGTACTTTGAAGTGAAATGACATCCTTTTTAAAACCTTAGGTTGAAGTCAAAAATCGAACTTGAATATTAACTAAAGAATCTAAATGTCAATCACTTCCTCCAATATACTTTCAACAAGTTATATAAAGGTTCGTCGTAAAGTAAATATAAGATGATTTTTTTAAATAACATAATTTTAAAAAAATATTGATTAGTGGTAGAAAAAAATGTAAGTATATTGTAGAAAGAAATTGACATTTAGTAGTTATTATTCATATATTAAGTTGTTCATATATAAACATAAGTTTTTAGAATATAGATTATTTTGTGACTATATAGGATGAATGGATTTAACATTAATTTAGAGTTAAAGTCTTTATGTGTATTAGAAGTATTTAGAATTAGTAAGATGTTAATATTTAATTAGACAAATTTAATATAAGTATTTTTATAGATGTTTATTTGTTACGTGTTATCTTATATTTCTTTAAGATGATGTTTTGGATTAATTGAGATTTGAAATAAATTAGATATATAAAGTGTATGTTAGATTGGTTGATGTATTTGAATCATGATTATCTTGTATATGTTTGTATTTTGATCTTAACTCTTGATAGAATACTCTTCTTATGTTTGATATATAATGTTTTACTTGATTGTACTGGGTATATAGTAAATGATATTGTAAAGTTAGGAGATGATTATCAACTAATGATTGTGCTATTTATATTCATAAGATTATTGAAACATTGTGAATCGGTTTAATATTTTAGATCAAATGTAAAGTTAAATGAATTATTGATATTTTATGGGATATTTCTTATTTTTATAAAATATTAAATAAATTTAGACAAAAGTTAATATGTGAAAAAAAAATAACTTGATTTGACTAATTTTACCTTTAGTATGCTATGTGAGACCCTTAACACCCCAAGCTATCTTGACTATAAATGTGTATTATTTAAATATACTTAAAGTCAAGTACATTTAATAAAAAGACATTTTCTGAAAAAAAACTAGGGTTAAATCTGTTTTTTAGTCCCTAAACTATTGGTCGTTTCTTGTTTTACGTCCCTCTTTCAAAGTAAGGGGTACGTTTGGGTTCTCAATTCTTTCGAAACTTCTTTTAGTCCTCGAATTTGGTTTTAGTCCTATTTGTTGTTAAATGATGGACCAATTTTTTAAGCAGTGTTTAGTTTTCGAGGACTAAAACGAACTTTCGAAAAGAATGAGAACCAAATGTACCTACTTTGAAAGAGGGCGAAAACCAGAAACGGCCAATAGTTTAGGGACTAAAAACATATTTAACCCAACAAACTATATGTAG